GTCAGGTATTAATGAGCGACACAGCCGGCCAAGAAGGGGAGAGTGTTTTCCCTCAGCACGGCTTTGGCAGGAACCGTGTGTTCAGTGTGGGGGCTCGCCTTCTGCAAGGATGTGGAGGCGGCTGAATTCCTCTCTTCTGCCAGAGATGCCCCAGCCCGGCCCGGGGCTCCCAGCCCTCTCTTGTATTTTCAGACTGGATAAGGGCGGAGTCTGAGGTGGCAGGTGCTGAGCCAGCCGTGCAAGGCAGCGCCTGTCCATCCCACTTGTCCAGCCTCTCTGCCCACACAGTGACCTGAGCAGCCTCCTCCTGCCTTGAATCAGAAAGCAACGCTGTCAAAGCTGAAGAAATCCCTACTTGCGTTTCTGAACTTGTCATTGTCATGTCGGGACTGACTCAAGGAGTGACAATGTAAAAATCCCCACCCCAGATCACAGACTGGTTTTTAAGTTTTTACCAGTGGGCATATGTGCTTACCAAGGAGAGACAGAGAGACAAAGAGAGAAGAAAGAGCATCCTCCATGGGACAGGGTCACACCACAATCCCTTCTCCGTCTCTCCCTCCTTTCAGGACTTTGGACATGCATGTACACGCACCTGGTGTGTTTCTTAAGCCACCAGGTCTGGGACCCAAACAGCGTGGTTGGCCACGTGGGGTCCAGTCGCTTTAACCACCACACCACGAGCTGGCCTGGCAGGATGTTTTATATCTTGCTAAGAGTATGCCTTACGCAGGGGTATGCACTTTTCAGCATTATCTGAAGGCCCAGCCACAGTGGTGCACCGTGGTGCTGCTGGGACTCTGTGCTTCAGAGGCTGGGATTACATGGGAGGCACAGGTTCGATTCCCAGTTCAGCCTAAAGGCTGGGTATGGAGGTACATGCCTGTAATCCCAGCAACCCTGGGAGCCCAAGACAGAAGGCTCATGACAGTGAGATCCTATGTACATAAATTACTAAATGTGCTTTTAAGAGAGGTACATATCGCTGCATGCACAGCTTACCTGAGAGAAAACTAATGACTGAGTATTGACCTTGAGTTAGTTATATGATACTTTGGCAGAAGTATACGGGTGTCTGAATCCTATCTGGAAATGCTTCAAACAAAATAGGATGGATACGTAGAGGGACAGACGTTTGGGAGATGCAGAGAGACACGCGATCAAGGGAACATAGCAAAACACCTGTCGATCGCAGCTCTTCCTACCGGCCTGTACCGACGTGTTTATAGTAACGTTTTAGGGGAAATAAAATTGAAGGTGAGCTAAAGAGTGAGTAAGATGAGGACAAAAATCATGGCACAGACAACTGATATGCTTTTCTGAGGCCATTAGTAGAAGCAGTTTCCAGGGCCAGCAGGCGGCACAGTGGTTAAAGCACTGGACTCCCACATGGCTGGCTACAGTTCAAGTCCTGGACCCGACGGGTTGCTTTCTCAACTTCCCTCTCTGTCTCTCTCTGATGAGAGCATGTGCCCTGCAGCAAAATTTAAATAATAATAATAAACTGAATAAATAATTTTCTAAATAAAAGTAAACAGAGGTGGCTCTGTAAATGCAGGAGCTGAGAGGTGGTTTGTAACCCCACATCAGGCGGCAACCCTGGCATTCCAAACAGCAGGGGTGTCTATGAGGGTGGCTGCCTTTCGGCCCCAGTGTAACAAGCTATGAGAGGAGGTTTAGAACGAGGGACCAGCAGGTGGTGTGGTGGTTAAAGCGCTGGACTCTCCCATATGGCCGACCACAGTTCGAGTCCTGGACTTGGTGGCTTGCTTTCTTATCACTCCCCCCTACTGTGTGTGTGTGTGTGGGTGGGGGGGGTCAAATTAAAATAAATCAATGATTAAATAAAGAATTTTTTAAAAGAAAAAAAAAAAAAGAATGGGATCAACCCGCCTGGGTTCAAATCTCAGCCCTGCTACCCCCTCTGGATATTCACCATGCCTCCTTTAAGCTGAGTAAAATAAAGGTGACTTTGCCTCACAGGGTCGTGAGCTGAAATGAGCCCGTGTTTGTGGCCCTAAGTCAACGTGCGCTGCTGAAAGCCCTCTGCCAGAGCAAGCGGCCAGCCCGGCAGAGGCTTTCCGGGATGCACAGGCGGGGCGGGGCGGGGCGGTTACCTAGGTGGACACGCAGGAGCTGGTCACCAGCTATGGGACAAAGGCCACTGACTGACACACAGGACAATGCAAAGCTCTTCCTCCCCAAGCTGGCAAGCCCCATGACAACGGTTTGAAAGACGCTGTAGGAAAAACGGACGGACGAGTCTACACCAAGGAGGCTCATGGTCTGGAGGGCTCAGGGAGCGGTGGGCACAGCAGCTCAGACGTAAGCATGGCATTCGGCAAGGTTGACCGGCGGGTCCACGTGGGAGCATTCTGGGGTCACATCCAGAGGCCTCCCTGATACACCAGGCACGGGTCTGGGCTGATCCGGGGCTGACCGAGGCTGGGGTGCACCGCACCGCCGAGGCCCTGTGGGGGCGCTGTCTTTCCCCCTCTAGCTCCTATTTTCCAGCAGCGGGAATGGAGACACCTGTGGACACCACACACCCCTGACTGCCACTGAGGACACGACCTGTCAGCACTCGCGTGCTCAGATCCGCACTTGTGAGAGCCGGGAGGGTTCTTAGAGGCCCTGTGCTGTCTGACACTGCCCAGGTTATAGACTCAGGGACAAAAGCCAGGTGCGGAGAGGGGCTTCCCCAAGACCACCCTGGGTGAGGATGGAACTGGACAGGTGTCCATGTGCTCCAGTCCCCACCTCCTGACAGCGGAGCATGGAGGAAAGAGAACTCTGCCCGGTTTACTGAATGTATGGCGAGTGGCCAGCCCCGTGGTCCCCATCCCACGGCCGACAATGGGCTGCCCAGGACAGCTTGTAGCTGCGTCCTTCCCCAGGAGCGGTCCACGGTCCAAAAAGCCTTGCCCGAGGTCACACGCCGGTCCCAGGCCAGTCACAGCAATGACTGGTTGCCGCAGGGTACAAGGCCCACCCACCCCCCGGGTCTGCGTCTCCACGGCTGTCCCGTCTGTCCAGCGCAGACCCCCACACTCGCAGGCGCTCCCAGTGCAGCTGCCCGAGACTCCCCCGTGCAAATCTCTGACGCAGAGCTTTTACCAGGGGAAGCTAACCAGAGCCATGGCAGCCAGGGGCAGGAAGTGGCCAGACCTCCCCACACGTGAAAGTGAGAGACAGTGGCCGGATGCTGCGGCCCAAGCAGTAGGGTTCTGCTGCGTGCTGGCTGACGCTGCATGGGTGGCCTGGGTTCAAATCCCAGACTGCAAGCACACACTGCTAACTAACCGGGAAACTGGGAAAGAGGATCGCGGCGTGGCGAGACCCTATCGAAGGTTCCTGTATCTCATGCCAGCCCTGTAGCCTAGTGGCTAAGGGAGCCAGGTCCCACATGGCCAGCCATGGTTCTAATCCCAACCCCGGCAGCTTCACAAACATGCCAGGTATGTATGTGTGCATGTCCAGAATCCCAGCAGGATGGGGAAAGGAAAGAGAAGAGACTGCGACGTGACTATGCCACATGGAACGGTGCCTTCTCTCTCCCTCTTTCTCTGTGTTGCTCTGTCTCTGTCTAGTGAGCACAGGTGCCCTGTGGCAATAAGAAAAGCAAAGACCTATCTCTGCCTCATGCTATTTCTCTAATAAATAAATGTAAAGAACGTGTTCTCCCCAAACGTGGAGCACCCGCCGACCCCAGGCCAAGCCCTGCGCACGCGGACTGCCCAGGTTAAGTCAATGCATCCCTGTGGTTCCCTGCAAAGGCAGCTCTTGCCGCTGTGAGTCTGCTTCTACGAGAGAGAGGCCAGGCCACCGGGGCAAGTCATTCACCTGCCACCCAGGGCACTTCACGGGCTTTGTCACATTACTGCTTCCCTGTCCCGTGAAGCAGGGATTTTTTTTTAAATAATTATTTAACTTTATTTATTATTATTATTTTCCAGTTTGATCAGATACAGACAGAAAGAGGAAGGGAAAGTGAGAAAGCAAGCTACCAGATCCAGGACTCGAACCATGGTCGGCCATGTTAACCACTATGTCACCTGCCTGCCCCTAGGCAGGTATTTACCACCACTGCTTCACAAAGGAGAAAACAGCCACCGCAAGGCTGAAGAGATCAAGGAGTCGGCTCCTCACAGAGCCACGATTTCGTCTCAGGTGGCCGCACCCACCTCGACGTGGGCTTCTAGTCCCTCCCCACCTCTGCGTGCCCTCAGAGGCCCGAGGACGCGCTCACGGATCCTACCCAGATGGACCCCACGGTCCTCGCTGCATCTTCCTGGAGCTGGAAACGTCAGAATGTGCTTTTGACGTGCTTGGTTCTCCTTTTTAAAGAAAACCATGTGTCCCGTCTCTTAGGCCAAAGTTACAAAAGAACCGAAGTTCTGCCAGTACTGACTTCAACGGTTGGGCAGAAAGGTTCCAATCCTCTGCCCCGAAGCCTGCTTGTTTGTTTCCGGAGCAAAAGACAGAGGCTAATATAAGCAATGATCTCATCTCCTGGGCTGTACCTGCAGCAGGGCCAGGGTCGGCCGGGGTCCCTGGAGCCCCTCCCAGCTCTCAGGGCTGCTGCTGAGCCCCGCGCTCCTCGCTCCTGGGCTGAACCACTCCCTCTCCCGTCCCACTGCCTCCTGCAACATCGCTGAGCCGGTGCGTGCCCTGACAGCTGCAGCCTCTAGACACGGATGTTCCCGGCCCTGCCCCTGCAACGCTCGAAGCAGCAGCCCCTGCCCTGGCCAGGGCTCACCCTTGCGGCATCCTTCCATGTGCCCTGGCTTCCTCTGCCAACCGTGTGGTGGGCACTCAGCCGCCCTCTGCAAGGACACACAGACAGAGCTGTGTCCTATTGCACCACACGCATGTACACACACACTTGCACACTCCACGGCGTGTAACCCAAACTGTGCTTCCAGCCCTGGGGGAGGACTGCAAGGGCCAAGCCCTCCATCCCGCCTCCCCCTGAGTCCCGAGACAGGCACTGCACTCACCCTTCTCCCTCCTGGGGAAGACTCTCTTCTGCAAGCTCATGACAGCGGGGCTTCGAGAGCCGTGCGGAGTCCCTCCAAGCCCGGCTCGCGATGTCGTGGCGGGATCTACCGCAGTGTCCCTGGCCGGGAGTATTGGAATATGAGTTAAAACTACAAAGTAACTCCTCGTTAGAACTGTTTTTCCTCAGCAGGGAGGGAAGGGGAAAAAAAATCCCTTTTCCTCTGCCAGAAAATCTTTAACGTTTCACAACGGTCGCTTCCAACTCCTGCCCTCCTCGCGAAGCAAATGTGTATAAAGGCAATGTTATTCCACTGAACCCAGCCCTCAGATCATAAGCTTTTTCCTGTACCACAAACAGAAATGGAAAACCTCAAACTTTCCTCTGGACTCCGAGTCCTCTGTGAGCGGGTAGAACACAGTGAGTCCTGAGGTCTAATGTATGGAAAGTGTGCCCCACGGTTTAAATCAGCCCGGGCACGGAGTCTGCGTCCACACCCTCCTACACACACACACACACACACACACACACACTTTTCTTTTTTAAATGAGTCCTGGTGTGTTTATGTAATTGCATGGGACAAACACAACACCTCAGATCCTTGCCCAAAGTTGAAGTGATTCATCTGCTCCCTCGCACACGCCACACACACACACACACACACACACACACAGCGCCTGTTTAATCCAAGAGAAAACGCCTTTCATAAAGTCTGCGAAGGGCTTGGGCAGAGCTACTCGGAGTGAATGCAGCCTGTGTCCCGAGAAGGGCAGTCGGGCTCCAGGGAAGGTGGAGGCTGATTTTAATTAAAACAGGAGGCGCCCTGGTTCCCACTCGTGTCAGGACAGGAGGGGGAAAAGAGGAGGGGATCGAGCCTGGGGCAGCCAGGCTCCATGGTCCACGGTACCCAAGACCTCCTCCTGCCTTCTCACTCTGGCGATCTTATTTTTAGACTTAGACGAGATGTACTATTATTTTAATCGGTCAATTTGACTGCCGGGTTAAATAAATCCATGGATCCACTCCGGAAAGACCAAACGAATATAAGTAGGCAAACAGTTGAAGACGGGAAGAAGAATACTCACTCTTCTGGACAGAGTCACAAGAGACAGGGTGGAAGGGAAGCTGACTCTGTTAGATAGAGAAAAACCATCAGGGAAGCATCTGGAACAGGCCCTAGGCTAGCGCAAGCCACCTGTTAATCACCTGCCAAGGGTCCCGGTAGTCCTGGGATAGGCCCCTTGGCTGAGGTCACTACTAGCTCTCAGGGCCTCGAAGAATCAAGCGTCCAGGTCACCACTGCCCTGCTCCACCCGCCTCCAGGGCACCGCATCTCCCTCAGCCCTCCATCCGCCCTTATCGAACCTGCCTGCAGCTGTCACTTCTCAAGGCGGGGCTGGAGGTTAGCTGGGAAGACCCTGCTATCAGCACCCAGGGTGGGAACAGCTCCGGAGAGCCATCCTCACCCCAGGAGGAGGCCTGGGACCAGAGGGGCACTTCTGTGCGTCAGCCCCACCTTACCGGTTAGCTAATTCGCTGCCCAGAGCGTTACGAAGGCCAGAAACTAGCCCGGCATTTCAGCAGGGCCAACTGCAGCCGAGACAGAAGGCTGGATACGCTGGGCGCTGCTCGGCACCAACGGAGGTGATGTGGCAAAGCCCGGGGTCCTGTCTGAGAAAAAGGACCATGTTCTATTGCTAAGTGAAGGGGCTGGCAGGTGGCTTGGTGATAGTTAAGACATTGGACTCCCCCATAGCTGACCACGGTTCGAGTCCCAGACCAAGCAGCTTGCTTTCTGATTTTCCTTCTCTCTCTCTCTCTGGTGAGTGCACTTGTCCTATAAAGCAGATAATAATAATAATAATAATAATAATAAATTAGGTACCTGCAGTTGGCGTAATGGCTATGTCACTGGATTCCCAGATAGTTGACAGCAGTTCAAGTCCCTGACCCGATGGCTTAAATGCACGCCAGGTGCGTGCACGTGCGTGCGTGCCCAAGATTCCTAGAGGAGAATGGAGGAGAAGGGATTGTGGCATGGTCATCCCCCCTGGGGGGGGGGGTGATTTCTCGCTGTCTGTCTCTCTGTCTCTCTGGCGAGCACATGTGCCCTATAGCAAAAACCTCTCCAAAATAATAATAAATTAAATTAATAATTATTTTGAGAGAGAGAGAGAAACAGGCAGAGCAAGGCTGCCCCACGACTGCATGGTTAAGGGAACTAGCTCCCACATGGCTGACTGTGCACTTTGACTCCTAGACCCAGTGGCTTGGAAAACACAGGGGGCATGAGTGTGAGTGCCCCACACCTCAACAGGATAGAGAGACGGAGACAGGACTGCGGCGTGAGCACATCACAGGGAGGGCGCTTTCTCCCTCTCCCTCTGGCGAGTGTACCCACCCCCTGGCAAACCGAAACCAAAAAGCAGACTGTGTAGTACGCCACATACAGGAAATAGGATTCGATCTGGAGAAGTCAAATGGGGATTTGTTTAGTTTCACCGTGAGCTTTCCAATATCTCTGCCGTGTTCCCATCGTCCTTAACGTTACCCCACCCGTCAGGGAGCCGTGTTCTCCTTCAAATCCCACTACCCGCAGGATGACAGAATTTCTTTGTATTTAAAAAAAAACGTTGTTTGAAGTCAAGTCACTGGCTTTGGAATTCCTCAACAGGCCGGTAGATCAATAGCAGACTAGGATCTTGGAATCCATGGCTTCTGAGCGCGAGTCAAGCCTTTGATAAAGAAATGATTATTTGGTGTGATGGGCAGAATAATGGCCCCTCCAAAGGCGTCCACATTCTGACCTCAGGAGTCTGTGACTAAGGACATCTCCCACGCAAGACGGAATTAAGGTTGGAATTAAGGTAGTACGGTTACTAGGCCAGTCCATGTTCTGGTGAGGCGGCGGGACCCCACAGGGCTGACTGTGAGTTCAAGTCTCAAAGTCAGAGGCTTGAAAAACACACCAGGCGTGTGTGGGTTCCCAAAACCCCAAAGGGAGAGAGAAATGAAGGAGAAGGAACTGCAGTGTGACCATTTCCAATGAGGGGTGCTTTTTCATGTACCCCTTCTCTTCAGCAAGTGCATATACCCTCTGATAAAACTTAAAAATAAATAAATGAGGTTACTAATCAGCTGACTTCAGAATAAAGGGGTTATCCGAGACTATTCAGGTGGAGACAGCCTAACCACGAGGGTCTTCAAAAATGGAAGAGGAGGGGACCAGCAGATGGTAGAGCGGTTTCATCACGGGATTCCTACATGGTCAACAGTGGTTCGAGTCCCTGACAAAGTGACCTGAATATCACACCAGGCACACATGTGAGCATGCCCAGGGTCCCAGGAGGAGAATGGATAGCATGGTCAACAGTGGTTCGAGTCCCTGACAAAGTGACCTGAATATCACACCAGGCACACGTGTGTGCATGCCCAGGGTCCCAGGAGGAGAATGGAGGAGAAGGGATAGCAGTGTGGCCATCTATCTCTGTCCTCCCCCCCCCCCCGCCCAGCCAGTGCATGCGTCCTAAGACAAAAACCTCTAAAAAAACCAAAACAAAAAAAAAATTTTTTTTTTTTAAAAACAGAATAGGAAGTCAGAGAAAAAAACTTGAAACTACACTAGTGGCTTTAAACATGAAGAAAAGGAAAAAAAAAAAAGGAGTCTCTCCTCCAATCTCCAGGAAGAAAGGCCATCCTGCCAACACCTTGATCTTAGCTCTGTGAAACCTAGTTAGACTTCGGGCCTCCAGAACAGAAAGATCATCATTTTGTGTTGTTTTAAGCCACTCAGAGTGTGTGGGAACAAACACATTGGATTTGTTTTTATTTATTTCTGATGCCAAAAGCTTGGCTTTAACCATAAAAAGAAATCATACAATTTATACCAGAAACTTCAGAGCTGGGAAGAACATGGGATATCAGAGCTGCTTAATTCTTTTTTTAAGAGTTATTCATTTAATGTATTATTATTATTATTATTAATGTGCTCACCAGAGAGAGAGAAAGTGAAAAAGCAATCCACCAGGTCCAGGACTCGAACTGCAGCGGCCATATGGGAGTCCAGTAGCTCAACCCCCATACCACCTGTCAGCCCCAAGAACTGCTTCATTCTTATTTACAAGAAGATAAAAGTCTGCCCGGCTGGAGGGAGAGCGGGGTTCAGAGGCCGCAGGTTGGAACTCAAGAAGGGATCTGCCCAATGTGCCCCTTTCTAAGTTCAGTGCCAAAAAACACGGGCAGCACGCAGTGGAGACAGATCAGAGACTGGGCCCCACTTCCCGCCTGAAATTCTGGGAGGAAAGAGCCTCCTGAGCATGCCCTGAGCCCATCCGGGACTGCCATCCTCCCAGGAGGTCCAGGAAAGATGCTGGGAGACTCTCCTGAGAGTCCTGTTGGGTTGGAGTGTAGACGCACATTCCCTGTGCCTTAATGAGGTACCCAGAATTCCCTGCATGTGCCAGCTACCCGGCGAGTTCCTGACAGTTGGAGGTGGAGGAAGCAGGGTGACTTTCACGGGTGAGAGAGCCAGATGCCTCAGCACCCCACGTGGTGAGCCTGGAGCTGCCCCGTGCTGAGGAGGGGTTGGCAGGCTCACCACAGGGAAGGCCAGCAGAGAGGCACCTTCCCACTGCCGCCGTGCCACCCCGCGACCCCGCAGCAGAAATCCTGAACTGACCTCGTAGCTGCCCAGGAGAGACTGGGTTTTAAATCAGGGCTGATTTCATTGACTTTGAATTGCCTAAGTTGCTCTGTCATCACCTGCAGAAACGGAGGTTTAAGAGTTAAGTTCAATCACAGAGACTGAAGACTGCCATATTTGTATGCGATTTTTTTCCCTATAAATAATGCCAAGAGGGAACCAGCAGTTAGCGTAATGGCTATGTCGCTGGACTCCCACGTAGTCGACCGCGGTTCGTGTTCCGGACCCGGTGGCTTAAATCTCACACCGGGCGCGTGTGCGTGCGTGCCCAAGATCCCAAGAGGAGAATGGAGGAGAAGGGATTGCGGCGTGACCATCCCCCCTGGGGGGTGATTTCTCGCTTTCTGTCTCTATGTCTCTCTCTGTCTGTCTGGCGAGCGCACGCGCCCTATAGCAAAAACCTCTCCAAAAAGAAAATAATAATAATGCCAAGATATGAACACAGGTTATCTGTGGTTAATGGCATTCTGGGTGCTCATTTCTTTTTCTCTGTATTTCTTAATTGGCTTAAAAGAGGAAAA